AACGCCATCCCCATATATCTCCATTACCATTTTCACCAAGTGAGCTTGATTTCAAACTAAACAGACTCAATCATGCAAAACACGGCGGGTCAAAATACCGCCAGTATATGGCCCCAGCCTTGTCAACAAATTTTTCATCACCTACGAAAATTTCGGAGGCTCGGGGCTACCGGACCACAGTGGCTGGCGGCCTCAGCCCAAAAAGGAAAAAAGGGCACTGCTGGCGGTTTGGAAAAGTGTGCGCGCAGTGGAAGGCCGCCAGGCCCGGGTGTAGTGATGGTACCAGGCCGTGATAGCAGTAGGGAGTGAAAATCATCGATCCGGTAAGAAGCATCTACTGGGTCTGAGGGTGCATCACTTAGGTATGGCACCCACTCTTTCTTTCTTCGAGCCATAGGTCTCCAGCAGTTCAAAATTTATTTAATTTAACTTAAGAGTCTTAATTTCTTTTCCTTTATATGACCCGCAGGTCTTCTCTCTCTCTATCCCAGCCCATGTGTCAGCGTGGGGATGCAGGGCGGGGTGGGGGCCTCTCTCTCTCTCTCTCTCTCTCTCTCTCTCTCTCTCTCTCTCTCTCTCTCTCTCTCTCTCTCTCTCTCTCTCNTCTCTCTCTCTCTCTCTCTCTCTCTCTCTCTCTCTCTCTCTCTCTCTCTCTCTCTCTCTCTCACACACACACACACACACACACACACACACGACAGAAGAAGAAGAAGAAGAAGAAGAAGAAGAAGATGACGGCGTACCTGGTTGTGACGACGGGCAGCGGGAGGGCGCGGCGGTGCGACGGGCGACGGGCAGCGGGAGGGTGCGCTGGAGTCGACTTCGAAATCGTGCGGGGTGATGGACTTTGCCCGCGCGATTTCGCGCAAGCGTTCGACTTCGAACGGCACGCGAAATCGCGCGGGCAAAGTCCATCACCCCACGCGATTTCCCAGCCGTCGATCTTGATGATCGACGGCCCGAGAGTCTTTCTCATTCGGGGTGTGGTTCGGGGACGGTAGAGCGCCCAAAAAAAAAAAAAATTGTGAGCCCGGGGGGTCCGCAGGCCCGCAGGCGGCCCCCAGGCCTGAAAATGGGTCTTTTTCGAAAAAAAATTTGGTCGCGCAAAACGGGCCCCGGACCCCGACTGGGCCTCACGACCGGCCGGGCGCCCGGTCGCCGACCCAGGCGTGACATGGGGACCCGGGCGCCCGGGAAATCTCCCTAGTGGATGGTTGTTTTCTGACTGGTCCGCAGACCGCTGACCGGTCGGCCCTACTGGTGGGCTGCAATACGGTCGGCGATCGGGGTCGGCGGTCGGCAGGGATGCAACCATGATTTTGACTTAATTTATTTTCCTCTGTATGGCCCGCAGGTCTAGATCTCTGTCTCTCTATGCGTACATCTGGGCCCAAGGCCCTCCTCTATGCAAGCACGGATTCGAACCGGCGACTTTGGCCTTAAGAGCCAAGTCTCTTAAACACTACAGCCAGGACAGTGGGAACCATATCGGTCCTGATATCCACCCCAGCCCTGCAAGGCTGTAGTGTCCAACTGTACACACACCACATACACAACACACCACACAGACATGGCAATTCTCGCACATTTCGCTCCAATCAGCATGTGGTGTGTTGGCACTTGGCGACGTTTGTGTGGGCCACGTTTGTGTTGGCACTTCTCCCAGTCACAGACAAGTGTGTGGGCGCTTGGCGCTGAACCACACAAATGTGGCCAAACCTTGCATTTTTACTATCTTACCCATCTCTACTTCTTTTGTTTTATGGATGGTTTATGATGATTTGTCGAGGCAATGAGAGAGTACACACAGGCCATGTGCAGTAGGAACTCAGGAAGTGAAAATCATCCACCCGGCCGGAAGCACCTACCTACTGGGTCTGAGGGCGCACAGCATTTACCTATGGCACTTACACTCTTTCTTTTCTTCGAGCTCGAGTCGGACTAAGATAGAGTCCTTTTAAATCCGTATAAACTTATAAACTACTAAAAACTTAAAAAGGTTTAACGACATGAGTTGGGTTCGGAAGGAATATGAGCGAGAGCAATAAACAGAAAATCCAACTTGCAAAATCACGAAGTAGCCCAGGTAGTCATGTACCAAGCAGAGAGCACAATGCACCAAGATTCCATCCAAATAAGAGTAATACAATGAACTTGAGTGTCAATGCCGACGCTCTCTGGTCACACCAACACTGTATCCAATGCCGCTCCTACTGTCTGGCACCCAGCGCCCAGCCTACTCTACTCAGCCTATCTACTCTATCTACGTTCTTGCGGCTGGATCACATTGAAGTTGAAGAGAAATGTATGTGATGTCAACACCAATGCTGACCACCAGCATACACCAGGTACGTTCTCTCTCCTCCCCTCACACTTCACTGGTTAAAGTGAGATAAACAACCACAAAACAAACTAAAATTCCACCAACAGAAAGATAAGAGCCAAAACTACTCAGTGCATTCTTGGAACCCCTCTGCGTGCGCCTCCTACCCGAAGACCACCATCGCCATCACCCGCTACCGCACGCTTGGCCTGGCTATGGCCGCCGTGTGCCTGCTGCCACGCTGCCTCTTAGCGCCCGCGTGCGCCCCACCCTGCCTGCACAGTGCAGTGTCGCACGGCAAAGCAGCCGCATGGCCGCAATGCCTGCTCAGGCCAGAATGCCCTCGCATGGGGCACACACTTTCCTATATGGAAAGTCCACTGCTGGCTGGCCTGTCCAGGGGTGTGGGGCGTTCAGTATCTTGCCTCTGGCCGCAGTGTCTGCGCCCAGGCCCAGTTTCAGATACTGGCCTGGGCCTCGTGCAGTTAGGCACGTCCAGGCAGCCACCCAGTGTTTGCAGCATTCTCATTGGCTCACGGCACACGTGTGTCGACAATGTTGCTTCCTCATTGGCCCGTAACCAGTCTGTCATGTGTCAGCCTCACACAGCGTGTGCCGAAGGCGCGAACACCTGCGCCCTGGGCTCAACTGTCCAGCGCAGCCCTTTTACTTCTGGAAGAGCCTGGAGGCTCGCGTTGCTCTGTAACCAACTGGCGTGCAATGACTTGCTGTTTTCTGGTCGTCTGTAGCCTCTCTCTGACGAGGCTGTACTATAGGTAGGACAGATTCGTAATTTTGTTCGGCTGAGGGCTAACCGACAGACCTACCTGTGTGGGAAATTCGTGAGGGACATATCTGCAAATTCAGGAAAATATGCAGTCCCGGTACTAACAGATTTCCCTACAGCTACCCTAACTGCGAATAGCAGGCCCGGGCGACCCCTAGGACAGACAGGCCCTAAGGGCCTATTCTGATAGACGGTCCTATAGCCTATAGCCGGGTCCAGTGGAGGCCGAGAGGCCGAAACAGAAACGGTACCGGTCGGTCAGTCAGTCCGGTCTAGGTCGAGTCTAGGCTAGTGTAGTCTATAGATAGGATGGGACATCGGTTCAGGGCTTTTGGCAGTTGGTACCGAGTACATCACTGCTGCGCTACGCGTGAACCGGAAGTCGTGATGGCTCAGCGTGGAAGGAGACAGGCATAGCCAGACCTTTGGAGCGCCGGCCATAGCTGGGACCTGCGCTGTACTCTGCCAGCACGCAGGGGCTGACAGAGGTCTGGGCTATCGAGGTCTGCTGGAGGCGAGAGAGATTGGTGCCCTGCTGGACCCTCCTCCGGAGTGGGGTTCCAGGGTGTTGGCGCTGCAGCCATAGCTGCAGCTTTCTTCCTCAGAGGTCATCTTGTCAGGGTTTGGTGGCGCTGCTGCAGACTTCCACCCGGGAAGTCTTCCGACACCTCGTYATCATCAGATACTGTGGTGCTGGTCTTCTTCTTCATCCTCTGAGTGGCGCTTGGCCTCAGAGGCCTGTTTCAGAGTGGCGCTTCCCTCGGGAGGCTGTATTTGGGTGGCGCTTGATGTTTCAGGGACTCAGGGGTGTTACGGGTGCTAATCAGGGTTGGGGAGTGAAGCGCTGCTCATTTCTGAGCAGCGCACTGTAGTACTGAAGTAATCCTGACAATTCGAGACTCTGAGTTTAATAAACAGTGTATAACTGGGTTTGGACTATCATCATTTCATTGTTCCTGGATGTGATCTGCTCGGTTTTTCTCTATGACTGGTTGTGAGGATTGAGTGGAGTGAATTGCACTTTCAGTGTACCCTGTCATATCGCATGGTCAAGTCTTCCGCTGTGTTATCTCCCCCTGTGCGGTGTGATACTCCTATCCTCTCCCCTTCCCTCTGTGTATGTATGGGCATACTTGGAAGTCTATGTGAGTGAGTGTTGGTCACCAGACAACAAATTACCAGAATCATAACAGGCGTGCTTCCTTTGTTTTTTTCTATAGAATACGGTCTACTGCCTATGAGAAGCTAGCGCCTAATCCAGGCTCCCAGGAAGGTGGCGCAGGGGGAACGATAGATGGGGGGAATGATAAATGGCGCCTTTATGAAGTCAGTCAAGCTTTCTCTGTGTGAAACATCACAATCTGAATAATCACGTAGTTTTTTTTTTTTTTTTTTTGCGAGGTTCCGTCAATAGTTGCTTGATCTGGGCTCGGAGTCACATTTTGTGAAAACTTATATGCTAGGCTACCGTCCGGGCCGCCCGGATCACCTTGTTTGCCCAGACAGCCAGGTCGTTTTAGGGCCACAGTAGGTCCCAGGCTCCCAGCAAAAAAAAAAAAAAAAAAAAAAAAAATCGAAAAATGTTCAGAAATCTGAAAACGTCAAAAACAACTATATTATGCAGAAAAATAAACTGACCGACTTTTGCCTCAGGGTCGCATCGAAATTCTTTACCAAATAAAAAATAAACTTTAATCAAGTTAAAACTTAAAACTTATTATTATTATAATAATATTATTATTATTTTTATTTTTTATTTTTTTTGCCCGGGCCGGGTAAGTAATCCCGGGCCACTCTGGTAGCCTACCTTATATGGGCGCCAGTCCCGTTGCTTATCTCTGGCAAGCATGAACAGTGTTTAGGAGTAGCAAACAGACCAAAGGGGTAACGGTCGAACCCTGGTGGCTCTGACCGCCTCCTGAAAGGGGGCTGCTATAGCACGACATAGTAAGTTAGTAACACTCTTTTTTTTTTTTTCCCCTGTGTCTGAACTTCCTCTGAAGGCCATGATGCAGCGACTGCATTGGTGGAACCTGCACTTGCCGTGGATGTCCATGGTGCAATTTTGCGTGCGATGCTGCCAGAAGCACAGCTACAGAAAAGTCCATGATGCCATCCTCCCTGCTGAAAGTGGAGAGAATAAGCCCTTAATGTCACAAAAAGATGTACCGGCAACACTCGTCCAGGAAGATCAAGAGGAGCAGCTTGGTGGTGCTCAGGATGCTGCTACGGTAGAGGTATGTGGAGATTTCAGCGTATCCATATCCTTCCTTTTTTATCCTTTTTTTTTGTTTTTTGAAAATTTGAAAAGGCAACAGCCTCCGGATATCACCTTTGAAGTTTGAATTGGCCGGCCCCAAGTAATTCAACATTGTTCCATTCCTTTTTTCGTTTTTCTTTTTTGGTAATAGGGGTCATGCTAATCGTCTCTGTATTGTTCCAATTTTAACGGATGCTGTGACAGATAAAAGGGCCTTTACCCGATTCAGCCCCTGATCGACGAAAGCAGCATATTGGGGTCAGTCGCCCAGAGCCCAATTCGTGAAAGCAGATCAAAAGACATGTTCTCTGGGCCAAAGGTCACATCCTGGCTAAAGTAAAGACAATGTCAAAGGTCATGGTTGGGCCCTGGATGAACAGTCACCATGTTTAGATTTGGAGGTCACATCTGTTCGCCAGGAGCAATGCAAGTCATGTCTATTCAAACAAGGGATGTGTCTGTACGTGCAGTCAATGTGTCTGTTCGTGCAGGAAGAGTGTCTATTTGTGCATTGGGTGTCTGTCCAGCAGGAGTCAAAGAGTTAAGTTCCAGTCCGGATTCAAGTCAGAAAGAAAGTCTAGATTCAGATTGGGAGTCCGAAATCAAGGCCTGAAGGCCGCAGCAGCAGCAACCCCTGAAGGAAAGGGATCTGGGACACATACACAGAGGCTGGGACTGGGAAAGGACCAGGACAGGCAGAATTCAGATCTCGCCAGGGGAGGCCAGCACTATAAGAAACGAGGCAGCCTCCCCCACAGACAGATTCCCATTGGCATTGATGCGTGGAAGTGCTGAGGCACTTGTGCGCTATAGTGCAGGGAGTTGGGCGCTGCAGAAGAAGCTGCGCCAGAGAGGAAAGGAGCTGGGCGCTGGCTGCAGGGAAGCCATAGCTGCGCTAGCCTATGTTAGTAGTAGAAGGGTTAGTAAGTAGGCATCAGTGAGTGACATTCAAAGTAGATCTTCGTAGGTGAGAGTGTGCATGCATAGTGAGGTAAGAGAACCAAGACAGAGTTCTGGAGAGAGAGAGTGAAGAGATCAAGAGAGAGAGGACAGGGGGTGAGCTTGGATATGGTGGACACTTACCTGTTGGCGCCACACTGGTGATCTGAAGGAGGACGCTGGCTGAGCCAGGTCCCACGCTGGTGTATGACGAGGGAGGCTTACCTCTTGTTGGCGCTGAACTCTGGAACTCATGATATTCTTTGTATTAAGTGACATTGATAATATAAGCTGCGCTACTTGGTTCTTATCTCATCTCAATCTGGTTTTGTGTGAGGCCACTTTGTACGTGTGATGACATGTATGCATGCGGTTTGATGCACTCGAGCAAGCTGTGAACAGTCAGGTTCCTTGCACGGACAGAATTATTTCATTGGGGGACTTTTGGGGCCATGCTTTTTTTTTTCTTTTCTTTTCTTTTTTTCAAACAGGTCCTTATGGCCCTGGCTCCATATCCATTCTGGGGAGCATCAGTCCGGTTCCTTTTTTTTTTTTTTTTTTTTAATGAAGAACATGAAAGATACACACACGCTCCTCCCCATTATGGATGGGAGGTCCGAGAAGGCGGCATTGATTACTTCCATGAGGAAGGATGTACCACCCCTCTCCCCTGCCTAAGTTATCCTATCTTACTTCATCTATTCAAGCGCAATCTTGCCCCGGTAAGCCTTTTCCTCTCAGGCCCTGTAAGGGTACCTGCCGGATGGGTCATCGAAACCAAGAAAACCTTTAGCTGTTGGGCTGTTTCCCCCTGCGCTACCATAACCCCGTATATTACCTATGAGGACTCCTTCCCTCCATTTGCCTAGAAGTCCGGTTCCTATTCCCCCGGCAAGTCAAATTTGAACACATCATAATACACGCTGAGCCTGCACATGGGCCCAATTTTGGGGGCCCGATGGTTGCTGGGGGGCCCCAGGCCGCACGCCCCGCAGACGCGCGCCCTGGAGGCCCACGGCCAGCCTTAGGGCCGCAGGTTTCGATTTGAGGCAGCATTCATTTATTTATTTATTTGCTGTCCTATTTTTGTCTGTTCAGGCGTCATTTGGACTTGCAGTTCGTCCGAACAGACTTTCGGTCTGGTGCTGGCACTCCCTGCTGCATCAGCAGGGAGGGCGTGGACGTCCGGTAGGGACACAGGCAGGCCACATTTTGGCCTAGGACCAGAGGCACATGGAGGCACACCCTCGAGGCCCAGTGCTAGGCCAGGCCAGGACAGACACACAGTTCGAGTAGCTCACTTCTTGGGTGATACGCTGCTGGAGCAGCGCGACACTGCGCTGTGCTAGGGAGTAGAGGCGTAAGTAGGGTGAGGGGCGGAGGCCATACCTGTGTCGTCGGTCCTCACCTGGGCGCCATAGCTGGCCCACGCCAGCGACCTGCACAGAGGGAGAGAGACACCGGCGGCAGTTACCTTTAGGTGAGATAGCAAGGAGAACGACATCTTCGTCTTCTTCTTCTTGCTCTCGCCCTATCTCTCCTCCTTCCTCCTTCCCTCTTCTTCTTCTTCTTCTTCTTCTTCTTCTTCAGAGAGAGAGAGAGAGAGAGAGAGAGAGAGAGAGGTTACAGGCAGAGGGTACATCGGGATTGAAGCCCAGGATCTGATTCGACATTTTGTGGCAGACATTGATTGGACATTCGGCAGGGATACTATTTTTGTGCCTCGCTATCGTGATCTTTGTCTTCTTCTTCTTCTTCTTCTTCAGAGAGAGAGAGAGAGAGAGAGAGGTTACAGGCAGAGGGTACATCGGGATTGAAGCCCAGGATCTGATTCGACATTTTGTGGCAGATATTGATTGGACATTCGGCAGGGAGACTATTTTTGTGCCTCGCTATCGTGATCTTTGTCTTCTCCCTCACCGCCATCTTCGTCTCGCCTCTCCCCCCATCTCCTCATCCATTCTATTCATCTACCTGGATGGGGATTCGAACTCAAGTCTGCATTTTTTTTTTTTTTTTTTGTAAGTTGTACACGTTCAAGGTAGGGCAGTTGGCATKTCAGCTCAAGAGCGCAGGTACCATCCCACCTCATATCAGGGTTAATGGCTGAGAGCATCCTGCACCGGTAGACCTTTACGGTACCCAGCCGCACAGGCGTCACCCTTAGTCCAGCAGCTCGTTCGTTCTCATCAAGGACTGCCTACCCCAAACGGGTACAATTTATTGGGCTATCCCCCCACGGGGTGCCTGACCCTAGAAGGTGAATGCACTGTAGCCCAGCTGCTGGGTCGCAGATAGCAGGCACAGATCTAATCCCAGTCCGCCAACTGCAGATGCTTCAGAGCCGTGCCCGCTGCAACCTTATCCTGGCACAAGACAGCGAGCTCAGCCCCCCCCCAGTGGACCGAGCACCCTCCCATCTAGGCTCGGACAGGGAGCCGGCAATCTGCCCCTAAGCATCCACTCGGGCATGGCAGGGATCGAACTCAAGTCAGTATTTCAACAGGTCGTGTGTGTATCAAGTGAGCCAGGCCAATATCTTCCTAGATATCTTTGCTTCCACGTAACATGCTGCTTTCAGCTATTCATCGAGCTGGATGGGAATTCGAACTCCAGTCTGTATTTGAACAGTTCATCAGGTGTACCAACTGAGCTAGGCCTGTATCTTCCAGGGTATCTTTGCTTTCGTGTAACATGCCGCGTCGATGAAGCCAAGTTAAGTCAGTATGACCTTTGAGTAGCCACGTGTCCACTGATACTCTTTCATTTTAGCTGCACAATCTACATGGCTTACAGACAATGCTATGAAGCCAAGTTAAGTCAGTATGACCTTTGAGTCGCCATGTGTCCACTGAGACTCTTTCATTTGAGCTGCAGAATCTACACGGCTTACAGACAATGCTTTCATTTCTTCTTCTTACTTTTTTAAATAACGGCACTTTTTGTTGTATTATAAAAACTGGAAAGCGGGTCCAGTGTCCCTTACAAAACTTGTCCTCACCCGCACTTCCCCCAACTTGAAGGTCCATCTCGTAAAACAATAGTGAACTCGTGAACCACACTTCCTGAAATGATCCAACTCTCTCTCTCTCTCTCTCTCTCTCTCTCTCTCTCTCTCTCTCTCTCTCTCTCNNNCTCTCTCTCTCTCTCTCTCTCTCTCTCTCTCTCTCTCTCTCTCTCTCTCTCTCTCTCTCTCTCTCTCTCTCTCTCTCTCTGTGTGTGTGTGTGGCTGTCGATCCGTCAGTCCTTGTCCGTCCATCAGTTGGCTCATCGCTCGGTTGGTCGGTCGGTCACTTGGCCAGGCTGTCAGTCGCTTGGTCCGTCAATCAGGCCACCAGTCAGCCTGTCTGTCCGTTGGTTCATCGGTCCATCCGTCCTTCACCGATTGGCCCATTGGTTGGTCGCACAGTCCGTCCATCCGTCGATCGCTGCATCAGTTGCTCGATCCGTCAGTCAATCTGCCAGTTTGTTGGTCCGTCTGTCACTGCGTCGATCTGTCTGTCGATCCATCTGTTGATCAGTCGGTCTATCTGTTGGTCAGTCGGCCCGTCTGTCGGTCCATCTGTCACCGTCCGTCTGTTCGTCTGTCCGTCTGTCAGTCTGCCTGTCTGCCTGTCTGCCTGCCTGCCTGCCTGCCTGCCTGCCTGCCTGCCTGTCTGTTTGTTTCCTTCTCTCTCATTCTCTCTCTTTATCTCTTCCTCTGAATGCCGCTTGGGAGCGCAGTGCTGTCCAAATTTCTTATTTGTGTTCCCATACAGGCCCTTCATCCCAAAAGCAATTTCATGGTTGGGTGCAGGGGCACATGGTAGTCTTCTCTGTACCGTTCAATAGCCAGTCTGAAAATTATTTTGTTCCATGTGGGCAGTTTGCTCTTTTGTTCCCTCCACTGAACAGTGAAAATTGGGAACCATATGGAGAAGATCAGCACAGTCCCTGTAGGATGACGCGGACGCTCTGCCAAAACCGTGCTGCCGGGAAAGAAAGCACTACTGCACGCCCTAAAATGTTGACCACTTGATCTTGGGCAAACTGCCTGATCACGCCAACTATCAGGTCGTGCTTTTTGTGTCAAGGGATTTGGGAAGAGGGAAAAGGGAGATCTAACCGTGATGCTGCCAACAGTGCCAAGTGTATAATTTAACCATTTCTATTTTTTTACTTTTTTTTTCTGGAGGACTGAAACTTGTGAAAATGTATAGGCAGTAATGGAGACCCTCATTCCCTCAAAATCTCTCTCACCCTTCGCAAACGAGTATGGGAATGCAATAGTCGTCGATAGAACCACAACTGACTCCTGCAACCTGTGATGTTTTCCCTTGCGCAGAGGGAGAGAGATCGTTGTGCCGGCCTTTTGGCCATTGCAGTGTGTTGTGGAGGAAACAGCTTCAAGGAGGGAGATACTGCCATCATGCCTGCACAGCCAACCCCCGTCCATAAACAAGTAAGTGAAATAGTTAATGCCAGCGAGGATGCCAAGTCCGCACTGCCACCATTGAATACAGAGAACCTTCCCCGGAAATCGTTAGCAGGGTTACTAGCTCGCCATGCAGAAGCCAGCCAGCGTGTTATGCTCATGAGGAAGGAAGAGGAAAAGCGGCAAAGAGCTGCAGAGCTCAGAGATATGGCTTATCACTCAGAGTATATGCTGGCGCATAAGGAAGATGAGGCATGTTTCAGGAAAATTGATGAATGGAGGGAAAACTTGGAAAAAAAGTCTGCTGAGGAAAATGAGAGGGAGAAGGCACTTAAAGAGAAAGAGCTTGAGGAGGAGGCACACAGCTTGTCGGCACTGCATTCTGAGTACATGCAAGCTTGTCGGGAGGATAAGTCTTGCATCCGGGACATTGCTCGATGGCTGAAGCTCAGGGAAGAGGCTTCTGCTGAGGACGAGGCAAGCATGAGGGAAGCAGTGGCAATTAAACTGGCCGAAGAGGCCAACAACCTGAGAGTCGCGCGTGAGGAATTGGAGTCACAGTGGAGCGCAGAAGCTCTCCAGCTCACTACATCACATGCAGCATACATGCAAGCGCATGCCAGTGATATCTTATCCTTGGACGAAGTAGAGGTGTGGACGACAAGAATGTTTGCACCAGAGGTGACAGCAGTCGTTATCCCTCCTGTCATTGTCCCTGACTTTCTTCCCGAACCGGCAGAGATCGTACCAAATGACAAGCTTCAGGCTGCTGCTCTTGACCAAGTGGGAGAGAAGCTCATGCCAGCGGACAATATTCGCGAAGATATGGTGACATTGGTTGACAAGGAAGTAGATCTTGAGGAGGAAGCAGGCAGCTTATCAGCGTTGCATTTGGAGTACATGCAAGCTCTTGGAGAGGATGAGGCTTGCGTCGAGGAGATTGATCGATGGAAGCTATTTGGGGAAGACACTTCTGCTAAGCCCGAGGAGGAGAGGAAGAAGGAAGTAACAGAAATCATAGTTGAGGAACGGCCTAGCAAGCTGAGAGCAGCTCGTGAGGAGTTAGAATTACAGTGGAGTGCAGAAGCTCTGAAGCTAACAACATCACATACGGAGTACATGCAAGCTCATGTGGAAGAACTCCTCGAGCAGACCTCCCTGCTTTATGATGTGCCTGTGGAAATAGGCACCAACCCGTCAACAGGGCTGGGTGAGGTTATGGCAGAGGTGGAGCACCCTTACAAAGCTGTGAAGTGGTTCAACGGAGATGGTTCTGCCGACGACGAGGAGGAGAGGGAGGGGAGGGAGGAGAAGGCACCCACAGAAACCAGACTTGATGGAAAGGGCTATAACCTGAGGAAAACTCAGAATGAATTAGAATCACAGTGGAGTGCAGAAGCTCTGAGTTTATCAGCATCACAAAGGGAGTACATGCAAGCACATGTGGAAGAGGCTGTTCTACCCGTAGCAGATGTCATGCTGCCCTGCGAGATTGTCACTGTGGAAGAAAGCCCCATTCAGTTACAGGTAGGGGATCCGTGCGGTGAAATCTTACCTGTGGCAATTTCTCACCATGATGAGCTGCCAGCCCCATCGTTATCCGTAGGGTGTTCGCGGTGGCTAGCAACCGTTGTAACATGCTGTCAGAAGTCAGATTCAAGTACAGATGATGGTGACCGTGATCTGAACCCGAGCGCAGAAATCGACAAAGAGTCGGGAACACTTGAGAAAGTGCAAGAGGAATGTACGACTGCTTTCACCAAGGATATGACAAACGCGATAGGAACCAACAAACCTGCTGATGATGCAAAGAGCGATCGGAGAGCCATGGGGGAACCAAGTGATCCATATGGCTGTTTGAAAGGGGATTCAGAGGGGCGTGACAAGCTTCCTGACCTTGCAGAGAGTAATATACTAGTCAACATAGAAGCAACCGATCCATATAGTGCCTTGGAACAAGATTGGGAACAAGGGAGATCTGCCGAAACACCAACAACCAGCCATCCAGGACTCAACTTGAGCGTGGAGGAACACCAGCACAAGTGTGTCATCTTCCAGAAAGACCAGTCCCAGGAGGCAGCTGCGGGGAGGGGAGGAGGAGGAGACAATCTACAAGGTGAAGACTCAAAGGCCGTTCCAGTGTTTGATATCGTCACAGACTCCAGTCTTCCCCCGGTGGCTGAACGTGCACCGTCGACAAGGTCACAAGTGAATGACGATGCCAATACGACGGCAGAAAGGAAGACAGGCATCCACTGTCCTAGCGTCTTTGGAGCTGTGGTCACTTGCTGCAAGGGGCATGATGAGGACACTGCGACTCCCAAAGAGAAGCAGCCCATGCATCAGCATGAAAACGAGTCCCTCAGTGTTTGGCACCACTTCATGGCCAAACCTGATGAAATGGATGAAGAACAATGGGTCATAGAGGCAAGACTTCACGAAGAATTTGTGAGGCAAAGGACCATGCACGAGCAGTACATGACTGCTCATCATGAAGACTTGGCTTGTCGGGAAGAGATCGAGAGCTGGAACATGGTTCATGTTGAGGAGATCCCTGCTGCATTAGTCCCCTCAGACCCAAGTGTTTTGAAGGATTGTTCTGGGCCCAACGTTTCGGAAGCAGGTCCCCTTGACCCAGCAACAGAGACAGAGAACCACAATCTTGACCCTGAGATGACTAGCAAGGAGTATATGGATGCTTATGATGAGGAGCTTGCCCTCATGATGCAAACAATGGCTTGCCAACTGATACACAACGCGGAGGAGGAGACGGTTACTTCTGCAAGTGTGTCACAAGCTGCTCTCGACTGGGAGATCACTTTGGCACCAAGTTCAAGTTTACTCCCCGTGTCTGAGAATCCTCAACACTTAGAACAGGATGCAGAGAAATCAGCAGGCAATGTCCTGCAGCGGCCGTTTATGCAACTCACTGAAGATCCAGATAGAAAGAATACGGAGGACCTGGCGAATGAAAGGCCAATATCGACGTGTCTTCCGGACTTCCTGGTGGCTATGGTGATGGGTTGTGAGAATAAGCACTTGGCTCTGGCAAACTGTTGCACACGAGACGAAACACGCCTAGACAACAACGATGAGGACGATGAATACCAATCTATTATCCACTTCCTTCAGGAAGAGGAAGAACAGCAGGCGATCGATGCCGAACTTGAGCAAGCAGGGTTCCGAAAGCTCGGGGCAGATCATCAGGAGTACATGGCAGCTTACGATGAAGAAGAAACCGCCAATGCGGCAGACATACAGCTCTGGATCGACAGGATTCCGGCTATGGAAAGTGCTGAGGAGTACATGGCAGCTTACGACAAAGAAGAAACCACTAATGCGACATTTCCGGTTATGGAATGCACTCCTTCTGTAGTCGCGGCAGAACCGAGTGTTACTGGTGGACATGTCACCGGAATAGGGTTGCCTGACAATCAGCCTGAGGAAAAAGCACGAGAAGTGGGCAAACAAGGTGAACTTGAACAAACAGGAGATTATGAAGAGCTGAACTCGACTCTAGCAAATAACGAATACATGAATGCGTATTATGACGATGCTTTTGCTCTCCCGCAGGAGGAAACGGCTCATCATGAATTTGCGGAAATGGATGCACCTGCGCGCCCCTTACACGGCCTAGATCTGGGTCACATGCACATGATCAGCTGCCCAGGCTTGTTTGAGCGTATGGTGACGTGTTGTGAGAGACGGGGTCAGGATGCAGAACAGCCTGCACGTTCGGCTGATGGCAGCCACAGCGCTGATGACTTGCAGTCTGTCCTTCCCATTCCTCCGAAGGAAACCGTAGAGAGGTGCCAGGCTCTGGACGCGGACCTTCAGGAGCTCAGCAGGCATGGAACAGCCCACCAGCAGTACATGGAAGCTCACGATGAAGATGTACTTTGCTGGGAAGAGATCCAGAGGTGGAATGACTTGAATACTCTGGAGCTTCAGCATACAAATGCAGCCGCCATCTTACAGTTCATCCCAGACTCAGTCGAGCTTGGAAGGTCGTCTGCTGCTGAATCTCCGGTAGAAGCAGGGAGACAGAGTGAAACTGTGTTAGCCGAGCAGCAGAATCCATTGTTTACGGAGGATGTGAAGTCGGATCAAGATAACAATGAAGAGTTCGAGCTGAAGTTGATTCATGATGAGTACATGAATGCTTATCAGGATGAGTTAGCTCTCTTGCAGAACGAGAGGATCCGGCTGCCCAATGATTCAGAAGAACATCGGTGGCCTGGGCCTTACAGTGAATCGAGCGCTCTCTGGATGTCAGAGATCGCAGCTGTCGAACCATCCATTGGCTTCGAATCTGAGAGCCCCCCTTATGTCTTGGATGTGGAAGCACAGACACAAAAGGAAGAGGAAGAAGACAAGGCGAGCAACGTCATTGACAAGCTGCCACCGGAGTCGCAGCCACTTGCAACAGGAGTAGAGGACAGGGAAGGTAGGAGAGAATCACTGAGTTGCACAGAACTGCTGACAGCAATGGTGACCTGCTGTGAGGTAGCCAATGACAACGAAGATGATTCGCAATCTTTCATTCACAAGGTATATGAAGAGAGAGAGAAGCAAGTGACGGAGAAACAAATTAAGACAGAGGTGGAACGACTGAGGGAAGCGCATAAAGAGTACTTGTCGGGACACGACGAAGATGTGGTCTGTGCGCCACATGTGCTGACCTGGACTAATATGACCGTTGCAATAAAGGAGAAGACAGCTACTGAGTGCAGCGAGAAAGAGGTCGCCAAACTGTCGTCAGAAGCATGGAGGCCAAGGGAGCCCAAGCCAGTGGCAACAAGAGGATTTTCAGAGAAAGAGAAGCAGGTGGTGAAGGAAGATCTTGAGGTGGAGTTGAGAAAACTGAAGGAATTGCATGAGGCGTACATGTCAGGCTATGGCGATGATGTGGCCTGCGCAGTACCTGTCCTGGCCTGGACTAGTATGCTGATTCCAGCAGAGGAGGCTACTATTGAGAATACCGAGGACATGAGTACTGCAGGGTTAGCAAGTCGGTCAGAGGAGCATGCAATTAATACGGTAGACTCCGTAGAGTCAGAAGTAAAGAGCTCCATGCAGCAAGAAACAAGGGCAGCCAGAGGAGATCTTGACAATAGAAAACAGGAGATGGAGGAACAACTGGAGGTGGAGATGAGAAGGCTGGAGGCAGCGCATAGGGAGTACATGTCGGGGTACGAGGAAGATGCAGCGTGCGCACCAAATATCCTTACCTGGACTAGCATGATCATTGCGCTGGAGTTGGCCGCTGCTGAGCATGTTGAGGAAGAGAGAACTACAGGTGGTGTACCTACCACATCAGACGAGGACGCAATCACCAAGCTGCAGTCTGAAGCAGGGAGGCTTAAGGAACCAGAACAAGAGGCAGCCAGAGGAGAGAAGCAGGAAATCGAGGAGCAGGTCGCTGTGGAAATTAGCAAGCTAAAGGAAGCCCATAAGGAGTACATGGCAGGATATGATGATGATGTGGCCTGTGCAGATGATGTCCTGGCCTGGGTGAACATGGCTATTGCAGCAAAGGAGGCTGCTGAAGAGCACACTGAGGAAGAGAATCCTGCAGCAGGGGCACCTACCATCTCAGGTGAGCATGCGCTCGCCACTGGAGATTCAGAGAAAGAGAAGTGGGAAATGGAGGAACAGCTTGCTCTCGAAACGAGAGAGCGAAAGGCAGCACATGAGGAGTACATGTCAGGATATGGTGATGATGTGGCCTGTGCAGCAGATGTCCTGCCTTGGGTGAATTTGGTTACCAGCTTGGAGCTCTCTGAGGAGGCCACTGCTGAGCACTCTGGGGAAGATAGTTATGCAGGGGAACCTACCAGGTCAGATGAGCATGCTATCACCAAATTCTGGTCAGGAGCAGGGAGGCTAAGGGATACAGAACCAGAGGCAATCGCGGAAGATTCAGAAAAGGAGAAGCAGGTGAAGGAGAGACAACTTGCGGCAGAGGTGATAAAACTGAAGGCAGCTCATGAGGAGTACATGGCAGCGTACGATGACGATGTGGCCTGTGCAACAGATGTCCTGGCTTGGACAAACGCGATCACCAAACTAGAAGAGGCTGCTACTGACCATGCAGAGGACGAGCTTACTCTGGGGGAAGATCGAGAAAGAGAGAAGCAGATGGAGGAGAAACAACTTGAGGCAGAGGTGATAAAACTGAAGGCAGCTCATGACAAGTACATGGCAGCGTGCGATGACAATGTGGCCTGTGCAACAGATTTCCTGGCTTGGACAAACGCGATCACCAAACTAGACGAAGCCGCTACTGACCATGCAGAGGAAGAGCATACTCCGGGGGAAGATCCAGAAAGAGAGAAGCAGGTGGAAGAGAAACAACTTGAGGCAGATGTGATAAAACTGAAGGCAGCTCATGACAAGTACATGGCAGCGTACGATGACGATGTGGCCTGCGCAACAGATGTCCTGGCTTGGACGAACACGATCATCAAGGTAGAAGAGGCTGCTACTGAGCATGCCGAGGAAGAGCATACTCCAAGGGAACCTACTTGCTCAGAGGAGCAAGCAATTGGGAAACCATGGTCAGAAGGAGGAAGGCAAAGGGAGGCAACGCCAGATGCAACCAGAGAAGACTCAGAAGTCATTGACAAACCATGGTCAGGAGGAGGGAGGCAAATGGAGGCAACGCCAGAGGCAACCAGAAAAGATGCAGAGATCAGGCCAGACAAACTGGAAAGCCCCACAAGTGCCCTCCTGGAGAGGGCTCATGAGGAATATATGAATTCATATAAAGACGATCTCATACTCTGGCATTCAGCATATGGAAGCCAAGAAGACGGGAATGAGAAGGACGACGAGGAGAAGGTGGATGCCAAAGACTCAAAGGTAATCTTAGCGAAAACTCTTAAACCACCACTCCAACAGCCCCTGCACTGCTCATTTTTCTTGTCTACAAGTGCCGGGCCAAAATCTACAGTGCCCAGGCCCAGCAGAGATTCGGTGCTGAAGGGTACCACAAGTATTTTTCGTCACCGTGGCACTGTAGATTCTAGGCTCGGGGAAATGCAACTTTTTTTTTTTGGGGGGGGGGGGGGGGAGGCAGGGTGAGAATGCAACTTTTTACTTTTTTTTTTTAACATGAGAATGTCCAGGGCTGTTAACCAGCGTTGGCCCGTTGGGTCAATAAACTGTTTTTAAGTCCCCCTAACACGTGATGCAGGTCCGCTGTCTCATGATTCGCCCGAGCTCCTCGCCTAAGTGTTCGTCCCGCCGTCTACATTCCCAGTGTAATACTACACCGGGCCCCGGACTACTCCCTGGGGGTCCGCATTGCGGGATTAGACGGTGCCCTCCCCAATCACACAGCCGGGCAGTGGCACCATCCATCTACTTTCTGTTTTAACCCCGGACAGCGTTGTCCCTGCTCCCCGTCAGCTCTATTTGCTCAACGATCCATGGTCGACCACTGTTTACTGCCTGTTGTCTTATCCGCCGAGGCGACCATGCGAGGTAGATTCTATCCCCTCGCAACCAACCTACTTGCCCATCTCCGAGCTGCTTAGACAGGACGTATCGGCGAATTTGGATGGCTTTGTCCGGGTGATGTGCCAACTGCAGCTTTGCAATGTCCCAGTCCAGTCTGTACTCTGCTTCCAATAAGCCAAGCCGCTGTTCCCATGCTTGCGCCGCCGGCAGCTGCTTCTACCTGCAAGACCATGATGCACCTTCTTTTCCATACAATCCACAAGGTCAGCGGGCGGAGTCTCTGGAAAAGCACAGTCCGGTACTACTCCTGCCCCAAGTCAACGGGAATGCCCAGGAGGGTTGGAAGCACTCCAGCAGGCATGAAGCTGCCAGTAAGCGTGTGCCAAAAAGATGCCCCTCTGTCCCAGACCTGCAGGGCTTCGGGGCATGTCAACAGGCAGTGAGCTATGTCCTCCACCTGTCCCGTATTACATAGAGTGCACTGGACGGACTGCTCCGAGCTGCCCCGTCACGCTCTGCGCCTGGACAACCACTCCGCAACGGGGAAGGCGAGGTACACAATCAGCCATTGCGTACTCCTGACTCGCGTGTTTGGAAGGCCTGGATTGAATCCCACGACACATTTCTTGCGCTGGTGCACAGCCCGGGACCTTGCACTGGACCTGGCCTGGACCTGGCCTGCCCAGGCAAACTGGGCAGTAAGAGGCAGCCTGCACAGTTATGCGGCAGGTAACCTCGCTACATCATGAATTATTTCCATTTGTTGTGTTGGAGATGTGATAGTGGGATCGTTCAGCCAAACCGAAGGAGGCATGAGCATGTTCACCATGTATTCTTCTTTGACTCGCCGGGGGAAAAGGAAGTTGTAGGAACCGGACTGACGCTCCCCAGAATGGACAAGGAGCCAGGACCGTAAGGACGTGTTATTTTCAACCAAGAAAAAAAAGGATGTGAATCATGTGATGTAAATGTACACACATTGAACGATTGGAAGTGAACGGTAAAGACAACATGCATAACAGATGGCAACACACAGGTTTTAGGGGAGATTACGAGGTACGAAGACGGAGACCTGGTCAATGCCAGGAATACAAAGCATGCATAGATTCTACACCTGGGGACAGGTGCAAGACGGTTGGGAGAACCTGACAGGGGGACGGGTGAAATGGACAAGGACAAGTAGATACTAGGACACAAACAGGGCATGGATCACAGCGCAGGAAATACATAAGCTAGGTGACTACGACTACATAGGTTGAACAAGGGATACGCGGCCTGAGGGACTGCCCGCGCGCCCCCCCCCCCGGTGCCCCCCCCACTCCTGGGGATTACCCTGCAGCGTCCCTGGGTGCTGCCAGTAAGCTTCCCGACTTGCAGATGAATCCCTGAGGGAGGGTTGGAGGTTGGGCGTGGGTTGAGCCGAACCAGCCCCCCTTGGCTTAGGCGGCTCGAGCCACAAGGGTAGGCTGACGCTTTTCTCTGTCTAATCCCCCCTGCTGCTCTTTCAGAAACATTTGCTTGCCGGTGATAAGCAACCGGACTGATGCCCCCCAGAATAGAAGGGGCTGTGTTTGTTGGGGAGAAACATTTTAAAAAAAAAAAAAAATGAAAATCGTTAATTAGAAATCACCACCAAAAGTGGGGACCCTCACATTTGTGTCCGCCTCCCTGGGGCTCCCACCCCCAATACGCCCAGCCTGACTGCAGCTCCTTATTAACAGGCAGGGCACCACAGCTACCGTCTTCATCCGAATAGAACGCCCGGTCATTATAGCTGCATTTGTCCCAACTTTCAGTCCAGATGCAGCGATAATGACCGGGCATTCTACTCGGGTGCAGATGGTAGCTGGGTGGGGTACTGGTGGTTTAACCGTGGTTTAATATTTTCCACGAGGATTTACCGCTGCTCTACCCTTGCGTATGGTTCTCCCAAACAGTTCCTCTCAACCCATTGAGGGCTGCCTGATCTTACTTCGCACTTTTGAGAATGCAGATTGGGCGCTTCAGGCATCGTTGCCGTTTCGTGGCCTGGTTCCCGCTCTCTGAGCCCTGGCTTGAAGTGATTGTGCCAGAGCTATTAGGCTGGAAAAATGGCTCAGAGTGCCTTCTTTGGGAGGGATTATCCGTTGTTCCAAACTTGTTCGGATCGTCGCCTCCGATCCTCCTGGTGAGCCTATGACCGCTTTACTCCCCTTATGACTCAGTTGGTGGCCTTGTAGTTAAGGAAGTATATATTTTAGCAATCACACTAAGAGTATAATAAAAATATGTTCCCAATTTAACAGATCCAGCTGTGGGTGATTCTACCTCCCTCCGCAGAGAATTAGTCATTGTTCTCCATCCCTCGTCATCACTGTACTGTTGCACCTGGAGATTTCCAGTCCTGAGTACCAGCCTTGCCTCCTTAAAATCCCTCTCTCTCTCTCTCTCTCTCTCTCTCTCTCTCTCTCTCTCTCTCTCTCTCTCTCTCTCTCTCTCTCTCTCTCTCTCTCTC